CAAACAAAAATAACGACTTTATTGAACTATTCATTTCCTACTCTGTGGGCCTCGAGATTTCACGTAGTGTAACAGCGCAGCGCTTCTGTGTTGTACGTCACACACATCACACACATGACCAGCGTCGGCCAATAGTGAGCCTACGTGTGACATACAACACAGAAGCGCTGCGCTGTTACACTACAACTATCTCGAGGCCCACAGAGAAGGAAATGAAGCCTATGGAGGAGTGATCCAGCTCTCAGATTCAATCAAAAATATCTGAATTTGTGTTACGAAGATGAACGAAAGTCTTACAGGGTTGAACAACATGAGTTTTGGGGTGAACTATCCCTTTAACATCAGACATTTGGCATTATCAGGACCCACAAATATTCCCTAATAATTGCATTATTATTATATTCAACACTATATAGTAGTTAAATGTAGTACTGACAACTAAAACTCTGTAAACTAGAATTTTTTCTCACACATTAATTTGGGGTGAATTATCCACGATACATATTGTTGCATTTTTGTATTGCGATATATTGTGACACGATATTGTTACACCCCTATTTTTTAAGTATAGTAATTTTATATTTATTTTATGTAAAGTTTATTTGTTTCTATAAGTTCATTAAAATTATAAATGAAACTAGTCTGAACTAGTTGATGCACGAAACCAGCACCTGGATAAAGAGGTTGACTGGCAAAAAGTATTTTATGTATTTTGAAAATACAAAAATACTCATCTTAAATGTATTTGAATACAAATTACATTTGATTTTCCCCAAAGGCTTCAAAATACAAAATACAAAATAGTATTTTGTATTTCAAATACGTATTTTAAATACATGTATCTGAAATACTGCCCATCCCTGATTGTAGTAATCCCAACTGTATTTGTGCTACTGACTGAGTGAGTCTGATTCAAATTGATCTTGAGTCTGATTTCATTAAAAAGAACCGGCTCATAAGAGTCATTTGTTCATAAATTGGACATCACAGCTCTCACTGTGTTCATAACTAAGCGCAGCTCACAAGACGATAACAGACAGACACAAATGCATATGAATGTCCACAAGCTTGTGCCGACTGTCTAGAATGTAAATCATTGTCACAAAGTTCTTTTTTTTTGTCGCATTTGCAAACATTTTAGTCACAGTCAGGAGCTTTGAATATATTGTTTGTGTGAGGATGTGTATGTGTTTGGGAGAGAGAGAGAGAGATTGCTAACGGGACGACATCTCTTAATCATCCTTGAGATGCATTAGCTTCTGATCTCAAAGCAATGCATCACGTCATTTTGTTAATTGGTAATGTTTACAAGATTACACAATTCACTGGCCTAATCTACACGCACACACCCACATGAAAATTAGCACTTTAGCTGTACGTCTTAACACATAATGCGCAGTTTGGAGGCAGGGCTGGGAGTTAGCGTGGTATCCGCCTCCACATATTAACCATGAGCGTTGTTGGACCTGCTGGAGACCCTCAGGCCAGCCCGTTATCCACATCTCTGGCAGGATCCCTCTCCCTGGGTACCTCTCTCGCTCTCCAGCCCGTGAGCAGGTTTAATAACAGAAGCTGTCCTGATCTCTGTGGGGGTCCAGACACCAGACTAATGTAGTGAGACAGGGAGAGGGGCGGTGTGCCTTGCATACTATATGAGCTATATACAGTGTTCATAAATATAGCCACGCACAGGCGGTCATGTGCAATGGACGATACTGTCTGTGCTCAGGCAAAATATTTACATTTTTACAATATTTACTCATTTATGCAGATTAAATATGGGGTCACACAAACACAAAAAGTGTTTTTGTCTTCTGTAGTGTGGCGTATTCTCCATATGAGCACAGGGGTCAGAGTTCACCACCCATCACCCCATCCACATGCAGGGCCCTGGGGCCTCATGGTAATTAATTAGATGTGAGCTGGTAATCTACTGTTTGTGGCTCTTAAGACAAACCTGGGCCTGTAGTCAAACAGACTAATTAATATAATCCCCATCATGTGATCTCCTCTAGAGGTGCATGCTGGGCCATTTCTTTCAGATGGCACAGATGGTTTGAAATGGTATTGAACCAAGAAATGTATTTTAAGTTGTTGGAGATTGTAAGGGATGCATTGTTCTGCTAAGCTTTGTACTGTTATCTAGCTAAACTTTGTACACTGTTTGTGCTATTTCTTTTCTAAGTGAATATATTTATGATTTTTGCCTGGGAGATGATACGAGTGAAAAACAATCCTACAAACTTGGGAGCGAAGACATATTTCGTGACCAGAATGTCTTTAGCCAGGTTTCAATCCACCAGTGTAATTGCTAACTAAAACGCAAACTTTTAAAATTTGTTTTCGTTAATTTAAATAAAGCCGAAATAAAATAAAAAAAATTAAAAACCTAAAAATAAAATCTAGAAACTAAAAAAAGAGAAATGTTGCCTTATAACTGAAATAACTGAAATAAAATGTTTAAGTACTAAAATTACTAGAACTAAAATTTAAATTAAAAATAAATTAAGGCTAAATAGAATTATTTAAAAAAAACTAATAAAAATGACAAAGGCAATTGACAAAATTGACTAAAAATAAATTAAGTGAAATCTGAAAATCTAAAAATAAAAGCTAATAAAAAATCGCAATAAATAGTAGTATATAAATTATACAAAAATAACAGTCATCGACACATTTTTAAGCAAATGTTGGGATATTGCATATAAAAAATGCTAGATGGACACACCAAGGTACAAATCAAATTTCCAAACTGTACATAAAGGTATACGCTCCCTTAAGATGGATACATTTTTTTCCTAAGGAGACTTAAGATGCTTTTCCACCGTGGGGCCAAACCTTTCTCATTGCTTAACCGTTCCATTCCGTTCCGATCCGGCCCAGCTGGTGTGGATATGGTTTCATTTTCCATTGTGGGACTGATATCAGCTCTTTATACAAATTCATCATAATGCAAGAGCGACAGCGTTATGGGGGATGATCAGATATTTCTTTCAATTTTATTATTAACTGTTAACTTGGCCTGCTACAGAGAAACTGGCAACAGACAAGTGACCGATTGTGAGTGGCAACAGCACCACACACATTCTACACACCAACCATGTTGAGAACGCTTTATAATCGTGTCGTGCCGAACCAAGCTCAAGTGGAAATATAGCTGGACCCCGTTCCTTACTAAAATGGTTCCTTCCATGCTATAAACATTGGGCCAGTAAGCAACCACCTAGCAACCGTGTAGCAATGCGCTAACAACCACTCAGAACGCCCTAAAATCTTCAGATGTAATAATCTCGAATGTTTGCTATTAGGCTGTAGAGCTAGATGAGCTCGATGCAGAAAACAGGCACACAGTTTAATGTTAGTCAGCAGACTGAGGGGAAGGTGTTGATGGCTTCTGCTATTTCTACTCCCAGCAGGCTGTGCTCTCATAATCACAAAAAAATCCCTCTCCGTGAAGACCCACGCTCAAAATCCCTGCTGCAGTTTAAAAATAACCAAAAACATTCTCTCTGCTGACGCATGTTACCTCCCACCAGATTCCAGTCAGGAGGGCCCTCTGTTCTCCGTTACCTGCTCATCGCCTAAAACAAGTCTGTTTTTTCCCCCTCCATTTTTCTAGTCCGACATATCAGCTGTGATTGTTTGGATCTTTTGAACAGTGAATATTATGTGTGGGGAGAGAGGCTTTGATTAATCTGCCTTTTAATCTGATTCCATCTCGTGACCCTTGACCTATTGCAAGTGCCTTGGACAGATTTATTACAATCCTTGTTTGTTCATCCATCCATTTCTGCCACTCGGTTTTTATTATGATATGGTCTCTTCTGTTTGTCAAAACCTTATTATTGCTCTATATTAACATTCAGCAATCAATGCCATATTGAATTCTTTTAGAGAAGATTGAAAAAATAAATCTAAAATTGATTTATGGGGATCAATTTTATAATTGAGGTCACAGTAATGTGATACTGGTAGGACAGATGGTGAATAACACAGCGAGGTGCTTTGTATCTCCTTGAGTTCATTTTTAGTTACAGGGAACATTATTTTATGCCAGTGATAAACCTGCACTGCACAGTAGATCTTTCGAAATTTAGTGGACAAATTAATGGGTTTTTATGGAGTTGTGTGGAGAGTCTCTTTCTTTTAGGCGTCGACAGGAAGAATTTGATAGGGAGATAAAAGCAGCACGTCTCAGTTTATCTAGTTTCAGTCTTTAGCACACCTTAAATAAATGTTGTCTGGGAAGCAAAATGAGGTTCCCTTTCTATATTCAGTTTTTTTTTGTGTGTGTGTGTGTGTGTGTGTGTGTGTGTGTAACACTGCCTTTCAAAAGTTTGGGGTCAGTAAGTTTTTAACTTTTATTTGGAAATAAATAATAAAATAAAAAAATCAGCAAGGAGAACACATTAAATTGATCTAAAGTGTCAGTAAAGACATTTTTAATGTTACAAAAGATTGCAATTTCAAATAAATGCTGTTCTTTTGAACTTTCTATTTTTCAAAGTATTCTGAAAGTGCATCACGGTTTTCACAAAAATGTTAAAACTGATTTCTCATAACTGAAATGCTACTTGAGCATCAAATCAGCATATAGAAATGATTTCTGATGGATCATGTGACTCTAAAAAGATCATGAGACCATTACAGAAATAAATTACATTTCACAAAATATGAAAATAAAATAAAAACTTATTTTAAATTGTAATAATATTTCATAATATTACTGTTTTTACTATACTTTAATCAAAAAGCCTTGATGAGTATAAGAAACCACTCAAAAACATGAAAAATCATACTGACCCAAAACTTTAGAACAGTAGTACGTGTATATAAATAAAACAAAAACAATATATTGACTAATTGAAGCACTTTTTTGTAATATTAATGGTTTAAAATGTGTGTAGTCTTTTCATATCATATATATATATATATATAATATAAATTTATCAGCATATCATATATATAACTAGTTTCTCTCTCTCTCTCTCTCTCCTCAGACGTAGACGACTCCGTGCCGTTCCCCGCAGGCTCTCTCCAGAGAAGGAAAAAGGGCCTAGCTGGTCTGCGTCAAGCGCAACAGTCCAAGTCCAAGCCGGCGCTGCTCATCAGCAATCCCCAGGATTTCCGGCAGATCTCTTCTATCATCGATGTGGACATCTTACCCGACACGCATCTCCGTGTCCGTCTGCACAAGCACGGCACCCACAAACCCCTCGGCTTTTACATCCGTGATGGCGTCAGTGTCCGCGTCACTCCTCAAGGGGTGGAGAAAGTTCCGGGCGTCTTCATCTCCCGCCTCGTGAAAGGCGGTTTGGCAGAGAGCACGGGTTTGCTGGGAGTCAATGACGAGATTCTCGAGGTGAATGGTATCGATGTGGCCGGGAAATCACTGGACCAGGTCACCGACATGATGGTGGCTAACAGCCACAACCTCATCGTGACGGTAAAACCCGCCAATCAGCGCAACAACACGATGCACCGTGCGAGTAAAACATCTGCCGGCAATAGTTCCGCTGGCTCGGGAGGCTCCGCCCTCTCACATGACTCCGCCCCCAGCCCCGCCTCACAGAACGCCAGCCAATACAGCAACAGCAACAGTGTGGCCGAGGGCGACAGTGACGATGATACGGACCTCATCATCGAGAACGACAACCTGTACGTGCCACACCGTATGACTAATGGCAACGGCAGCCACGGTAACGCCCTGTCGTCGGGTGCATTTGCGCACAGGCCCCTCCCACAAAGTGTTTCCTTGCCCAGTAGCAGCTCTTTAAGCTCTCTGACCACACCTACACACAACGGCAGTCCCACCAAGACGAGCAGTAGCCAAGAAAGCATGAGAGAGGACGGAAACTTCATTACGTTGTGAGCTACAGTAGGATTCACACCACTGTAAGAGCCTTTATGCACATTTATGATAAAATGAAGGAACTATTATATGATCAGCTATTATTTTTCGGTCGTTACTATCACAAACAACAACCTGTTCACAATCTTCCCCGTGAATAAGGTCCCTCGCCCAGATCACACAGGTTGCACTGTATGGAAGTGCCTTATGGCTCTCCATTCCTCTCGCCTTAGTTATTTTTTCTTCTTTTGGGAAAAATCAACCATATTCATCTCTATTGACTCTAAGGAAGTGTGCTAGTTGCTACTGGGATGCCTGACATTATCACTCAGAGGACGTGAGAGACCAACAAATCGCCTCTGTGGAAATAATGCGTCTTGTTGTGGATTCATCTCACTTTTTATGATCCCTCTTGCATTAATGATGATGATGATAATAATGGAAGATGATGAGGAGGAGGTGGAGAAAAATATGAGTGTTAAAACAGATCTGATCAGTGTTTAAGCTTGTTTGCTCATATCATCTCATTCTGATCATAGATTCTGTCGCTCGATGTGCTCTCCATGATGATTTTGAAGTGGTGTTATTTGCATTCTTCTCACTACTAATTCATGTGTTTATCAATCACATTTTTAAAAGCGAAAATCTCAATGTGCAGTACGTGAGAGACTGGAAGTGTAGCATTAAGATCAATCCCATTATGAGAACATTTAAACATGTTTTTACTTATTCTTTAACACTCTTGTTTGTTCAAACGCCATTTTAACACTCCCAAGTTGGCTTAATTGTCACATTCATTATCTCTGATGTAAAAAAAGAAGCAATTTTTAAATATATTGAGGTTTTTTTCATACATGGAAATGGAAACTTTTTGGGGGGGTTTCTATCTTGTTATATTAAAGGGATAGTTCACCCAAAAATGAAAGTTTTGTCATTACTAACCCTCAAGTTGTTCCAAAGCTGTACGAGTTTCTTTATTCCGCTGAACACGAAAGAAGATATTTTGAAGAATGTTGGTAACCAGACGGTGACAGCACCCATTGACTTCCATAGTAGGAAAAAAATAGTCAACTGTTTGATTACCAACATTCTTCAAAATATCTTCTTTTGTGTTCAGCAGAAGAAAGAAACTCATACAGGGTTGGAACAACACGAGGGTGAGTAAATTATGACAGAACTTTTATTTTTGGGTGAACTATCCCTTTAAAGGAATAGTTCACTCAAAAATGTAATTCTTGGAAATGACTCTCCATCATGTCCAAGCTTATGACTTCTTTCTTCTGTGGAACACCGTAATCAAACAGTTCCAATGTATGGACAAAAAACACCGAGACATTTCTCGAAATATCTTCTCTAAGGTTTCACATAAGAAAGAAAGTCATACAGGTTTGGATTGACACGAGGGCGAGTGACCGAATCTCTGTTTTTGGGTGAGCTGTCCCTTTAAGGTTTACAAAATGGTTTGAATTTTGCTTTTTATTGTTGAAAGAGGCAGTCTAGGACAGTTTCTTTCTTTTTGAAGGACATCAACCTGTTTTTCTCGCTTTGTTTTTAGTTTTTCCCCCCTGCCTCCAGAAAAATAGGAATCCATATACTTAACTGGCACACCGGTGTGGCGTAACTTCAGAAAGACTTGACCTCTCATTGACTCACTCTGTTTTTCTGTAAAGAGAAAAAAGGAAATTCCTTTCATGTTTGGAAAAGCCAGAATTCTGCACATTGGGACCTTTTCCACACAGTCCACTCCTGATGGCCAAAGCTGTGAGGCTTTTTTAGCCATGGTGAGTGTGTGTATGTGTGTGTTCAGTCATATTTTTAAAGTATAATCTTACAGAAACGGCACTGAGGTGGACACTATCAGACTCCGAGCCAAATATTGGTTTCTCTAATGTCCAACAGACCCGAGCGCTGTCTTCAGGCAACCAGTTCCCAGGTGAACGCTTGTTTAGACTGTGGAGATACCTGCCTCGGGACGTCCAGCGCTTCAAAGGCTGTCTATCAAACCAAGAAGCATTGATGGAGGAAGGACAGTGAAATGCATAAAATATCCCAGCGTTTGGAGGAACTTCATTCCAGATGGGCTGATGAGCTAATTCTCCTTTATCATGATTCTATTTGGGGATGAGTGAAAATGTTACTAATATGTATTCCGGATGTTTAGAAGGACATCTCGAGGTGTCAGTGAAAACGATTAGGAAGCCGGTCTTACCGTGTCATAACTGATGGGCGTGATTCATGAAAGTGTAGCCTCATCTGTCGAGCGTTATCTGGTTTAACTCGATCGGAAAAACAAATGACGTGCAAAACTTACATTTATCAAGGTAGCCTTGAGTCTGAAAGAGAATGTAGTTTATTCGAACAGGTCTAGACGTAACATCTGCACAACTGACACTAGTGACTCATTGCCTCGGGGTTTTCACTACAACGTTGTTACTGAAACCGGAGGGTGATTTGAAACGTATTGCAAGAGACAGCTGGAGAAGCCTAACTTGTCACTTTGTTTTGTTATCTGTATTTAATTTAATATGTTTTATCGGCATTCTCTGGATGGAGAGAGTACATCGAAAGTGATGCTCTGGGTTTTTAAAGAGAAAGCGATGGGATATAAACAGCACACAATCGGAGCACCAGTAATACCACATGAGCATTATTTTTTTTGTGTATGTCCAAATATGTGTATAAATAGAAATATGTACTGACGGACACTTTTGTACACTAGGAGCCCTTTTTATAAAAAAGAGCATTTTATATATGTGTAAATTATGGAAAGTATTTTTCTTATTCTTGTACTTTTGTATGTATATTAGAATTCTGGAAAGGAGGTTTCTATTTCTTTTGAGAATCACAAAATTCAAATCTTTAGACGCTTGTGTTTTTATTATAATCAGATGGGTCAAGGTGTACAATACTGTGAATGTTATAAGCTGATTATAAAATGTTCTATCAAGATAATAAAAGTATTTAACATTTATTTCTTGTTTAAACAAATTATTTACATGTTTACTTTGTACTAATCCGGTTGCAAAATTTCATTACATATGTATATCATGCTTTGGTAACACTTTATTTTAAGGTGACGTAGTTACACAGTACTTCCTTTAGTAATAACTGTAAATTATGCATAATTACAAGCGACTATCCCTGAACCAAACCTTAACTCTATAGTAAGTACATGTAGTTAATTCATATTACACAGTACTTATTTCAGTTAGTACAAAATAAAGGGTTACACTATTTTAAGGTTTCATTGTTACAGTGTAATTATATATTTAAGTACGGAGTACTATTAAGCAACTACATGTACTTGCTATAGGGTTAGGGTAGGATAAGGATTTGGTTCCATTAAAACAATCTGGAAAACACCTGTTTATTTCCATTTTAACCGGAAGTGGTATAGCTGTGGATGCGCTTCACTCACAGTACAAAGAAATGAAGCATTATTGGATTACATATAAAGGACACATTAGATTTGCGATACCTTACCTCAGACTGCATCACTGTCTGTCAGAAAATCAATGCGATGTAAGCGCACTGACTAGAGCAGAAGGTCCACAGATGCAGAACTGCAGACATTTCTTCATAACTAAAACTTGCTGCTCAACTAGCCTATAACTTTTTTAAAAGGACATCAGCAATCCATTAAAAACCCATAATTAGCCAATACAAATGTTTAAGGCCACTGACAATTGTGGGGACAAAATTGGAAATTTTGTTTGCCAAGGCTGTAAAGTGCTTGTTAAGTTCATGATTTTTCTCCTGAATATGTAAATGGTTAATTTACAGGTTTACTGAGGCCCTCTAGTGGACTCCGGCCGGTTGAGCACAAGTGTGAAATAAAGGGAATTTGCGCCCTCTGCTGTCTAACGCTGGTAATGACCATGTTCCTATAGTTACCAAACGGCTCTCAAGATTCTCACCTGTAACGTTACAATTTCAATAGCAGGCTGCTCATTTGAAAAATTGATACTGCATAATGAGAAGGAAGTCGCGTCAAAACAGTAAATCGTTCAAAAATACAGCACAATACTCGACGACGGATTTTTTGAAAATATTGGCAGTTATCATTGATGATCCGGGTAACCTATCCTTTCAGGTCTGAAACAATCAAGATACTTTCAAGTCTTACCGTTATATTATATTCAGTTTAAAATCGTTATGCTCATAAGGCTTAAGCCCATGAAACTCTTTCCAACACTGATAATAAATCAGCATATTTGAAGGATCATACACTGAAGACTGGAGTAATGATGCTGAAAATTCAGCTTTGCATCACAAAAATGAATTATTAAATGGAATATTTTAAATTGTAACTTTACTTCACAATATTACTGTTTTTTCAGTATTTTGACCGGTACTACTGTATATAAAATAATACAAAATAAAAAAAGAAGAAGGGTGTTTCTGTACTAGCACTTGACCTGATTTACTTGTGTTGCAGTGGGGTGATGGCGGGTCTGTGGTGGTCAACGGTGAGCTTTATGAGGAGGAACTCGGTAGATGTAATGAACTCTCCACATTAAAGGAGCTTAAAGATGTTACTGGTCTCCATACTTCCATGCTTGCTTATGGCTTTAAAAAGATGGCAAGGTATGCTTTTGCTACAGTTATTTATAAACACCAACACAGACAACAATCTCACAGTACTCCTATGGAGGATGTATTGTATAAAGCCTTGAAAATGACTAAGCTGTAATTATAAGGCCAAAAGTGATGTCTGGCCTAGGAAAATTGACATCTTCACCCTTTATTAAAATATTATTAAAAATGTGATTTAATATTTTGTAAGCATGTTGTGTACTTGTGCTTGGAGTTAATTGTTTTATTTGTGAATGAAACTTGCCAAATTGTGCTGACACAATTTTTGGCCAGGCTGTCATACAAAGAAATTACAAACACATGCAAAAACAAGAGAGAACCAACGAAATATTAATAATTGATTATGTTGGAGCCAAAGTATGAATTTTCCTGTGAGCGTTTTGCATTTTATTTTTGCATAGTAGTTGAAGTTTCTCTTATTTTTGGCCAAATAATTCTGTCCGATTCTGTTCTATTCTTCCCTCTTATTAAATATATATTGTGATATATATTTAATCATATTTTGATTGTTAAATAGAACTTTTAGGGTCATTAAAAACAAATATCCCCTCTCCGGACATCACTTTTGGCAACTACTGTATATATTTTGTCAGCCATGTGAAACTGTTTTTAATCTATAATTATGTATTATCACAGAACGTCCAGAGGTAACATCCATGTATTTAAGCATCCGAACTTCTCAATCAAATCAGCCCATCTTAAAAAGGATGTCAAGAGAGAATCTGAAGGTACAGGCTCATCCAGGTCCAGAACTCAAGGACAGAAGCCTCTGAGAAAGACTAGTGACCAGTGTCTGATGGACCGTCAACACTCTCCCTCATCAAGCCCCCTTTGTACGTTTATTCTAATGTATATTTGTATTAGATTCAATATAATGTTTCTATTATTTCCAAATGCATCCATTAATACTGACTGTGTCAGTCATGTTGCATTACTATTGAACTTAGCACTTGACATATACTCTTATTATTCATTATTATTAATATAGCACTATACTATTGAAATTCCTTTGAATAAATTAATGAATTAATGCAAATGTAGGTGTAATAATAAGGGAGGCACATATATCAGAATCTCAGTAAATGATCTGAATAACATAAGACAATGCATGACAACACTTCACAATAGAACCTAAACAGTACTGATGCTGCTCATAGAGACTAATCTGAACCCATAATGTTTTTCTTTCCTTAGTTCCCCCCGCAAAGAGGAGAAAGGCCAGGAGCCTGTATCAGTATATAAACAATGAGTTCACACTTCCAGACAGCCATCACTCAGAGGTGACCCCCAACATCTCTTCTGCCGAGTCTCGGTCCTCAGACATCTGGAACAGCAGCCCATAGATCTGCATACTGCTACACACATGATCCTGAGCTGAGCATGACTTTATACACACATAAAATGCCAATGAATTCTTATATTCTTCTTCTAATTACACAAAAGCAGTATATATACAGATATACTGTATATGCAAAGAAACAATAATAAAATAATACAAAAGACAGACACCATTTGCTCATGGATGTGTATTTTAATAAAAATAATTCTGTCAAAATTAAATGAGTACAATATTTCTTTATCATGTTTCCAGTACATAGGTATGTCTTTTTTTCTTTTTCATTTTTTAATTGTTTTTCTTTTTTATGTTGTTTTTAAAGGTTCATGCTAAGTAGAGGGTAACTCATTTCACAATTGCTAAAAGAAAACTCAAATAAAATTAAAAATCGTAATAGAAGTAAACTGTGCACAGCTTGCTGTACTCCATTCCATTCGTCTTGCTCCATTGTCTTTTGAAGCAGGAACATGACGCATTTTGGCTACTTTCTTCCCTTCGATGTATGTCCGCACGTCCCTATTTAAAGCCAATATGACGTTCTATGATGGATTCTTTTAAAACAACAATATTCATTATAGGTGGTTAGATTATGATGAGTTCCAAAACATATTTGGCATTAAAAAGCCGCCCCATGACAAAAGATCTACAACGGACAGGTCAGTAGAAGTACGAGTGCTTCTCTACAAACTGCCATTTTTTAACTCAAACATAAGTAAATAGTTACACAAGATGTCCCCATGCAACAAGATACCACCATTTAACAATCAAATTGACCCGTTCAGTGGAGTAAAATGGTAAAAATAAATTGACTGAGATCATTAGGGATCAGGATGTGTAAAATGTCTACTCCACTGAATCAGATTGACACAAACACTGCTAAAAACACAAGGTGGGGCTCCAATCAGTTTAATCTGCTATTGCCTGTATCCATTATGTAACTCCAGAGTTGGGAAGGCCAAGTTTATTTTAGATATTGAGGAGCATGTGCAACTCTCCAGTGACCCTGTGACCTCTAACTTCCACCAGATGATCTGCAGGTCGACCAAAATGGTTACTGCACTACACATACCTTCTGTTAAAATGCCTGACACGATACAACAAGCTAGACAGCACTGTCCTAAGAGCAAGTGAGGTATAACTGAAAAGAACAAAAGCAGGTGTAGATACGGGAATGTAACAATCTCATGATGGCCAGCAGCAAAAAATGTGGGAACTAAAATCGGTTAAGCTACATTCAACACCACAGCGGCGTGCTGGCTGAGTGAAATGCTGGGTTGACATGGGGTCGATTGATAGTTTTTCTCTTCATGGATGATCAGATTAAAAGAAAGAATGGGAAAAAAAAAACAGGCTGCTTACAGGAAAAAGTGCCTGAGCCCAGTTAACATCACACTTACAAAGGCCAAGAAAAAGATTGTTAAAGAACATCTCGGAGAGGGGGATAAAACCATAACAATTGCACTGATCTGAGGTCGAGGTGAAGTTCTGGAGCAACAAACACAATTGCAATTTAAGGAGATGTTCTAGGTGCTAAATAAATACATATTTCGTTTGCAAGTTTTCTGTTCATTTTTAGGAACGCTCAATTGTCTTGCATGCTGCAAGTTCATACTCTGTCCCTCCATCACTGAACAGGAGAGGTAGACGGATACAGTAATGCATCATGTGCATTCATCGAAGTACAGTGCATCCAATGGTAACAAAACTTGAACAACGGTAGTCAACAGCCAATGAAACAACCAATAACAAAAGTTGAAACGGTGTCCGTCTGTATAGTTATTAATCTAACAGGAGAACTATCAACACAGTGACACTATTCACATGGATATAAAACGTACAGAGACTTGGTATACGAAGTTAGTCCGTGAGCTTCAGTGGAGCTTCTCAGTAATCAAACTAACCTTACATTTTTTTTCTCAAAAACTGCCTTTTTATTTGGTACAGCCACAAAAATTAACTTCAATATACCCAACTTAAAAAAGTGAAGGTTGACATTTGCATGATACCCACGGCTATAAAGATGGTAAAATGTCGGTAAAATAGATCCATTTAGGGCAAAGGTCTATGATTGAAAATATAATTCATCTACATTGGACCCAAAGGCAAGTCTGCGTCGTCACTGTGTGATTGTGTCTAATGAAACTTGTGCTGGTGCCTGAGATGCTAAAGTAGCTTAAAAGGTGAGACACTATATGAGCCATGCATTATCTCACCCTCGTTCGCACACTTACTCCAATGAAAACATCGGAAGGTCGCCAAACTTCTGTACGCACAACATCGACGTTCTTCTAATTCCTAAAGGGGCAGCTTAGGTTGACCAAATAATAATAAAAATAATCTATAGAATTTGCTTGTACATAGAAAAGGACCTGCTTTAAAATCCACAGTATGGTCTGGTGAAGCGACACCTGTTTCCGCAAATAAAAGAACATTTGTCTAAATACCTGAGCTCTGACTGAGAAAAACCAGAGTGCGTAGCTCAAATTTTCAGTAGGAACTTACCATTATGTATATTGTTGATATGGTACGCTTGAAATACTATGCACTGAATTCACCCATGAAAAAAAAAAAAAAAAAAGTTTGGGAAGTTGATTTGTTTCAAAATGAGCACAACAAACGGACAAAATATAAACTCAAATAAAAATGACTAGATAAACAGAATAATTAATTATCTTTAAATAGTGTCACACAATTTGTATTTGATAATACTAATTTAAAAAGAAGCCTCTCTTCTCATGTTTCTATTCATTCTGCTCGGCTGCTTCTGGCAAACGGCAAGCGACACACCAATTCAAACGCATGTTCTCGTCATGGCAAACGACTGGAAAGTCCTATTTGTAGCCGTCCTGAACATTGCCTGAGGGAAATACAAAAGGATTATGCATTTAACATGGACAATAGAAATACTGGAATATTTTAAGAAATAAAACAATTAAATAAACCCGGCAGTGAAAAAAAAAAAGTAAAATAAAAATGAGAAAGTGATTTTGCAAAATAATAAACACTGCCCTGGACTGTGTTTATTAAATGTGTATTAAAAGGAACAAAATTAAAAAATTGACAGAGAAATGACAATTTAAAACAACTTTTGTTTTTGTATTATGTATTAAAATTGAATAGTCTGATTTAATCATTCAAATATACACTATCAAAAAAGAACCAACCGTTTAGAAGCGACTGTCTGATTTACAAGTATTTTCTTGGGATCAAGCGTTGTCATACTGGGAATGTAAAATGTGTTGATGAAATTGAATATATATTAGGGCTGTCGACGTTAAAGCTTTAACGCTTGCGATTAATTAAAAAAAAGCATTAAAATACCGGACTACATTTCTCGGCTGGATAAAACAAACTAACTTCTCGCTAGTAAAGTTTTAATGGATGCGGATTGTAATGAAGGCAAAGACGATTGCGTTGACGTACAGTGAGTCCATTATATTGATAAGCAAACAAATCATGTATGTGTGCTCTTCGCACTGATCGCACATTGTATTTATGCATTTCAGTACATTCACGTAGTTTTCAACGTTATCTGTTATGTATGTGTATGTTGCAGTGTTTAGTAAATCTGAATGGATCCTTGTACTGTAGTAGGTATATACAGTCGGGTCAAGACGGTTGGTTTAGGGGTGTCAATGTGGTCCTGTTTGGTATCGCAAGTGGACTTTTGGAGTCTCCAAGTGTCCTTTTTTGGGAAAGACACCTAAATTTATCTTTAAAAACAACTTGCAGAAAATACAGTTTTGTGTAATTCACCCTTCAATCTGAAAGTTTACTTTGCTGGATATAGCAAATGATTACAAAATGACCGCATTAAACAAGATAAATGGTGTTATCCTCTCCACCAGTAAGCTGGTGTGTGGTGGGCGTTCTGGTTCAATATGGCTGCCGTCGCATCATCCAGGTGGATGCTGCACATTGGTGATGGTTGAGGAGATACCTTCTATGTAAAGCTATATAAATGTAATGAATTATTATTATTAAGCTTAATTTCACAATAAGGGTGTGAATAATTCCCAAAAAGGGTGCGATTGACAGTCCTAATATATATATGAAGAGTTTGGTTCCAAAACGCGATAAACGCCATTTAAAAAAAAAAATAGTTACTGCAAAAATCAGTATTGTATCTGGTTGGTATTGAAAAGTCAATGTTTAATTTTAAGTAAAATGCGATATCCGCCGTGTTATTCTGTCATGTTTTCTCCCTTTCTTTCCAAACCGCAACAAACGCCAGTCTCCCTTCTCTGCAGAATGCGATATATCCGCTCTCAACCAATCACAACGCCCCATTCCACGCAATGTAAACAGTAACCGCAGCGCCTTAAATACACTCGGCTTCCTAGTTTTTCTTATCTATTTTGTACTTTTCGATCAACAAACAAACAAAAATAATTTTGACGGCATTGATGAACCTGTGGTTGTTTCTGCGGTGGGTAAGAAACGTAAGGCATCGAAATCGAATCATTTATGTGAGGAGATTAAGAAGATGAGGCACTCGGGAGGAGGAAAAATGTTTTCAATCTTCTTTACAGTTCTTAATAAAAATATTATACTAATAAACTTACATTGTTGTGTATTTTCAATAGTTTCAATATGAAAAAAAAAAACTTTTATATTGATTCAATGGATTAATTGAAAAAAATTTTTTTTAATGGATTTATTGCATTTTGGGTAAAAAAATTATCCGTTTTTATAATAAATCTTTGAAAATCAAAACCTGGATTTTAATTTTTTTTGTTATTATGACCTACAAATGCTATGTGAAAGTTTGAAACAGAAAATAATGGTTTTCATCTTTCCACTTTCTTGGTAAAGAAAACACATTTTTACTCAAATTAATCTAAATGGATTTATTGCGTTTTGGAACCAAACTCTTCATATATTCTGTATATTATATATAACTATATAATTTTTCAATAGTTTTCTCTGTGACCAGACAGATATACACAGAATGATTTATGTTCTTGTGTTATAAGGAATGAAAACTGAAATTATTATACTGAATTAAAATAAAAACAAAACTAAAACTAATCATTTTTCAAAGATGCAAATGACATACAAACTCAAAGACAAAAAAAAAAAAAAAACAGTAACATTTTCCAGACTATAATTACCTTGGTGCTCTCACCTGGACTAGTGCTAGTGCAAAAAGTTGTCGACTCTGGCGAAGGAGCAGGAACCAGAGCGAACCCTGGCCATCAGCTGCACGCACTCGGTGGCCTGACCCAGAGCCAGCATGAGAGGAGGCTGTTTGGGCAGATTCTGAGACTCTGAATGACGGAAAAGATCACAGATATGAAGCCATTACAACTATTAAATAAGTAGAAATGATCATAACAACTTGGCCATGTTACCAGCTCATTTACGTGCCTCGTGTTACTGTAACCACATTTAAATAACGAGGCCTACATAAGTGCTCATGTTCACATAGTGTATTCACGTGTCGTCTCAGCCAGCCAAGCAGCCTTACCCAGAATAGCGCTGTTGAGAGCGGAGCAGATCGCCTCTCTTTGCATGGGGTCCAACTGCTGGCCCACGGGGCAGTTCCAGGGGTCCGAGTACGCCAGAAGACTGAATGCATCCTGAACACACAAACATACACGCTGGCGAGTGGGCACAAAGAATGTAAGAGTACTGCTACCCACAAGGATAATCAACTTTCCACTTCAAATGTGCAACAGACAAGAGGCAGAGGAGTTGAACAGATTACGTTGTATGCATGCAATATGACTGCAAGTCTAAATAGACCACTTCACCAATATTTAATATAAAACACAACAGCCAAAACTGACTTTTATAAATTGCACACTATCACCATAACACCTTTTTCCAATGCTGCCTGTGCAAACATCCACCTATTCATCACATTCGCAAACCTTTCCTCCTCTTTCCCTCCATACCTGCAGCATCTTTTTGTGAGTGGCGTTCTTGCCGTACTGTCGGCAGAGCTGCTCGCTGAGGGCCTGAAGCTCTCTGCCGAACTGGATCATTCTCTCTGTGGCCGCCTGGTTTCCTCCACACAGCTGTCTGGAGCTGCAGCTGTCATCTAGGGGAGCAAAGAAATTGCAATGACACCCCAGAAAGCAGACATGTTTGCGACTATAATTACACAGCGCACATAGATATTGTGATTGAAAAAATTGCTTCAATATAGTACTGCTGGGAAATCTTGCCCAGTATTGTTATATTAATTTGAGGCTATGTTTAATTAGCCAGTGAAACTATTGGGAACAATTTAATTGTATTATAATTATTACAATTTAAAATAACTGTTTTGTTTTCTATTTGAATATATTTTAAAATGCAATTTAATCCTGTGATGGCAAAGCTTCATTTTCATTGTATTATAATTATATTTCTATATAATATAATTGTATTATAATAATACAAGTTTATTGTAATAATCACAATTTAAAACAACTGTTTTCTATTTGAATATATTTTAAAATGCAATCTAATCCTGTGATGGCAAAGCTACATTTTCATTATATTATAATTATATTGAATTATATAATATTATATTTCAAGTATTATAATATAATATAATATAAAAAGTCCTCCATCTAATAGTGACTCATTTGTTTTTTAATCCATCTGAACCATTTTCTCAAACCAAAGCAAAAATCAATGTCTGAAACCAAGAAATTATTATTATTTATTTATTTTAAAGGAAGAAAACTGTGCACTGGGTGCTAATAAAAGCTACACACATTTTATCGAAACTTCATAACCACAAACTATCACACTCTCTCTTTGTAACCTTGGAGAAAAGCATTTAATGGGCTGAGTTATAGAGGAGCTCAAAATAGCATCTCTCAAGGGGAAGAAGGACAGAGCAGAGAAAGAACTAGTCACATCAGAATGAAAAAGGTAAAAAAGATTTATAAACAAAGCATTTTTAAAAAGGCGTTCTCACAACCTGTTGAATGTGATGTTAAAAATCCTACACATGTGTTGTACCTGCTACTCCATTGCCAACACTGCTGTCATCCGCCTGTAGGATTTCCTGGTGTTTGTACGTGCCATTCATAATGCGAGTTGAGCTTTCTGTCACGCCATTGCTGTAATGTTCTGCCTCAATCTCCATCTCACTATCACTGTCAACACACAAAAATACAGTCAACAGCAGAGTCTCTCGAGAATGTAAGTACACAACACATTTATATGCTTGGCCTTGCTTGCATATAACCACATATTTAGTTTTCTGTCTGGCTCAAACTCAAACCCACAATCACTAACCCAAACAACACCACCACACACCTAGTCTCCTGGTTGCTGGTGGCACTGTGTGGCTGGGACTTGGTGGAGTCGGTAGAGTTGGACTCGGAGTAATTGACGGAGGAGGGAGAAGAGGATGGAGAAGAGGAGGCGGAGCTTACGCCTGTGTATTTGTTGTGGCTCTTATTTTTGTTAGGAGGGGTGACCCCGTTACTGCATGTGGGACTGTCTGCTCCTGAGTCATGAGGAGGGGAAAAAAACAACGAGGACTATCTTAAGACACAGCATGAATACAATGCTTTACTTGAATTGTAAGTTACATAATCCACCCAACTGCAGTACAAGTGAAACAAGTGATTCAATAAACCATCTGTTCCACATCTTTTATGAATGTGTTCTCTTGAAGATGTTACTCATGATCAGACCCACACCGAATCTACACCCACAGAATTCTGAATTTGAACATCTGTTCTTTACAAAGTCCTACACATCCCTCAACTCATGTATTTTGGTTTAACAAATATGTGGGCTAATTGTGATTAATGCTTTCAGCTAGCAAATAGATAAGTTACTTTGTAGTTCATTCTAATGTATTTTTAATAAATTAAAACCATACTGCAGAATTATGTACATTTGCAACCCACATTCAGGACAAAACATTTTTAAAAGTGTGGGCACGGTGAAGACAAGGACAGGTCACCGCAGAATTCAAATTTTGGTTACCCATATTTTTCAATGAAAATTAGTATGGAAAAAAATGGGGCCCATCAATTGTTTGGTCACCAACATTCTTCAAAATATCTACTTTTGTGTTCAGCAGAAGAAAGAAACTCATACAGGCTTGGAACAACTTGACGGTGAGGAAATGATAGAATTTTCATTTTTGGGTGAACTATCCCTTTAAAAGAAACTTTGACCTCAAATTAAATGAAATAATATTACTAATAATAATATTCTCTAATGCAAAACATTAAGCCTATTTTAGGAGCATTAACAAATGTTTGCACTGTGACTTTGTTTTCATATAAATGTAATGCAAAAAAAGACAAAAAGAACACTACTGTTGTTATTTGCCAAGGCTGTAGATCACCTAAATGGCTTCAGATTCCCAACAAATATAATTTCTTATTTTTTCCTCTAGATTCTGGGATGAAAAATTGTCATTTTACCATGAGATTCACCCAAATGCATTGTTCAACGAAGTGCTAAAAAATATTTTAAGTAACACTGAAAATGTGTGGAGTGTGTATGTTACCTGTGCTGTGCAAGTGAGCGTTGGTGGCTCCGTGCCGGGGGCTCATGTTGGGGGAGCCGGGATAGCTGTCCTGTGATTTAGGAGAGCGGACACTAAAGCACCGTACCTCACTATCCGTACCATTCACCATCTCTACAAACTGCCGACACCTGAGGGAGGGCAACAAAAAAATCACTGTTACACAAGCAAGATCTCACACACAAATACACACACACTTCAGACTTGCCAATCAATTAAAATGTCTGTCAACCAGGTTTCTCTTATCCATTATGCCTACTGACTGACACTGTCAGCTCAGCAATCCATTAAACTGTCTGCTTGTCGTTCAAATGTAATCCATCACAGAGAAAGAGAGAGGAGTCAGCTCTCACTGCTTCCTTCCCACACATCCTGGCACTATTCCCACAGCAGCATCTGACATCTGATGACATCCAACAGTGCAATTATGCACCTCCATGTAAGGCTTTATATAAAAAGTTTCATCCTCACGTCAAAACAAAATTCCAGCCAAGCAAAATGAATAGAGATGGTTTCCAAAGAAAAGTTTAACATTACACAGAGGCAGCGTGTGCCCTGTAAAGGCCTGTAACATGTTGAGAAAAGGGTTTGTTGATATGTAGGGCTTACATTGAGGGTCTGAATGCAGTTTTTCTAATGAACTAAAGAGCAGGGATATCATGTTTTCAATGCATGACTAATGGTTTTTACAGTCAATACAGAATTCAAATTAAGCATAAAAATACTCATTTTAATTTGATCTTTATACTTAAATTTTGAATAAAACAAATAACATAGTTGCCAGAAATCACTTGGTTAATTCATAATGCTTGGCCATTTTTTCCAATAACAGAGATTTTGAACATACACTATCGTTCAAATGTTGGGGGTTGATAAGATTTTTAAATGTTTTTAAAGTCTCTTATGTTCATCAACGCTGCATTTATTTGATAAAAAATACAGTAAAAACAGTATTATTGTGAAATATTATTACAATTTAAAATATATGTTTTCTATTTGAATATATTTTAAAATGTAATTTATTCATGTGATGTCGAAGCTGAATTTTCAGCAGTCAGTCTTCAATATCTCATAATCCTCCAGAAATCTGATGCTGATTTGCTGCTCAAAAAACATTTCGTATTAAATGTTAAAAACCATGATAAATTATTTTAGGATTTTTTGATCATTAGAAAGCTTTACTGTGACTTTTGTCCACTAATACAGTGCAACAGTCGAATTCCCAGAAAAACTCGATACATTTTATCCATAAGAAAATTATTTTTTAACGATAACTTATAAAGCTTTGAAGACAACCTTACTGTGAGCTACGAGTAGGGATGGGACGGTATGAAAATTTCATATCACGATTATAGTGTCCAAAATTATCGTGATTATCAATATTATCACGGTTTTGTTCAAATGAGATGAAAGTGTTCAAAAAGAACTGATGCTCACACTGAAAACATTTCAACAAGTTTTATATTTGAAAATCAACAAACAACAAATAAATAAGCAGCTCAATGCAGTTTTTTAAGCAAGATTCTATTCTGTGCCATTTCCTTCTTTATAATGCCCGTCGTCAATAGCAACCCATTATTACACCGTGCACATCCATATCACAACGGACGCGAGCGCTCTTGTTTCATTCAAATACAACTTGCCGTCCTGCGTCTACCGTTTTTGATTGTATTGAAAATGAAATCAGAGTTGATTTATTGTTTACAGAGTTTGATAATATTGTTGTGATCATCTTGTCTGGACGATTGTTTTGTACGCTGTACAAAATGGATTTATAAACAGGTAAGATTTAACACATTAATTTCAATTCAATATGTCCCTGTAATTATGTGGTATAAAAAATACATATAAAAAAAATCGGTGTAATAAGTGTACAATGAATCTATACATTACTATCCCTTAAAATGTCACTCTTAATAATAGTCTTGTTTGAAGTTGTTTGTTCGTCTTTGGCTCAAAGCCACTTAGACTGTTGCTGGCTGAACAGGATTTACAGTGAATTATTAAAATCGCGATAATCAAACACGGTTTTAATGATAATTAAATTTTAAACGATAATACTAACCGTCAGTACATTTTATCATGGTTTATCGTGAAACCGGTAATCGTCCCATCCCTAGCTACGAGGTTGGTAATTGATGGTAGTTGCTTCTGTTAAAACCGTCAGCCTGCCTTATTTTATCTTATTTTTTAAATAATCGTGTTAAGCAGCTGAATTTATGGTGAAAAACTACATTACCCATGATGCTGTATAGGAATTTCCACCAATCAGTGTCGAAACAAACAAAACGTGCCAAAAGACCTTGTTAGCTCCGCTCACTCCAATGAAGCACCACAAATGACGTAATCAAATCGGTCTTTCCATGCTCTAAAAATACTTAAATATTTGAATATATATGCATATTTTGCAATAAACATATATTTGCAATATATATATATATAATCTGACTAACTTTTGTCAAAGTAGATAAGCAAGCCTTTCCATTTCTTTAACATCAGCTTTTATTTGAAACCACTGATTTTAGTAGGTGGATCTTCAAATTGCATTTAATTTAAAAGACATTGTTTCCCTTCTTTTCAACCTTATGCAACAATATGACTAATCATATCAGAAGCAGCTCAGAGCAAGGCAACCATGACCCTCTTTTCACCCTGAGTGAGTGTTTTCACTTTAAAGACTGATAACAAAAAAGAGCCTCATTCGTCAGAATGACCATAGGGCACTATAAAAACCTTCATTCAGTATAACACTGAGTAAAAGATTGCCCTAATCTCAGGCTACGTGTTTTCTGAGTACGCTTGCATTATGAAATCCAGACCAGAAAGCTGTGGATGTTCATATGCAACTGAGCTCTACTGATCCCCAGAGAAGAAAACACATTTTTTTACCTTGCTTCAAGTTGAGCAATTCATTCCACACAAAGTGGCACACACGTGGTTCTCCAAGTCTGGTAAACATACTCACTTCAACATGAAGAGTAAATTGGGGTTGTGTTCTAGGAGTCCGGGGTACAACTGCTGTGTTGCGTCAATGGCTTCTCCAACACGTCCTGCCAATACCAGTTTCTGTATTCCTGAATGCAGAAAGAAGCAAATGAGATAAGGAAATAACATGTGTGTTTTATTTTGGTTTTGTTTAAATGGTCATATCATACATTTTTAATCACTCGATCGCTCTCCCTGAGGTCCACTTAGAATGTTAGTAAAGTGTTTTGAGCATTCATAATTTAGTTTTATGATATTTTTCTTTTTCTCTGACCTTTTAAACAAGTGTTTTATTACTGCTGTGCCTTTAAGACTTTTATGTAATTGCTCTCCTCACATGTGAAAGGAAGGATAAATGGTGCTTACACACAAGGTGAGGGTGTGCTGTCAGGGGGTTTGTTTCCAATATAGTTTTTAAATGTTCCATTTATCTATATCTCTTTGCAAAACCTGAATTACATTTTGACAGGTTCACAAAACAGTGCACAATGAAATATGTGGCTCAAACTGTTAAGATCATTATAAAAATAAACTTCAGCCAATCATTTTCTAAGATTGGGATCTTTCAGTAGGATATGCAGAGCAACACACACACACACCAGGAAAAGCACAAGGTTTGGAGAACTGTATACACTTTTTATGTTCTTATTTTGTTTAGGAATTACAGTATCAATCCTACTTATTGTTTCAATTATGATTTTAATCCAAGGGTTTCTGAATGAGTCATTTTTGCAGCATAGATTCTATATATCGTCGCTGTCCGATGAAAACCGCGTATGTCCATTTTGCCGATTTTGAGATTTTTTGACGGATATAATGTCCAGGTTAATTTCCGTATACAGCATGCTTCACATTATCTAAATGACCAATGAAAAGTTGTGAAATCATGTCATCTGATTTTCACGTATATCCATTTGGTGTCAAAGCTGTCAATCACGCCGCGTATCTCCCACCCTGTGGATGCATCTCGCCGGTCTCGTGAAGTTTTGAAGCACTGCTACTTGGGCGCAGAGATATCACGCAATACCTGAAATAAAGCTTGCCACAAAGAACCGGCGAAGGTAATGATTATGCATGAAACATTTGAATTGTTGATAAAGTTGACGATGCAGACTCGCCATCTTCGCAGTAGTGAACGCGCCTATAGAGAGAAATGCACACTTCATATAAAGTGCTTATTTATTAATCCAGGCAAATTTGTTGATGAAACATTGATTAAAATGAAGATACAATTTATACAAAACGAAATAAAATTTAAGGAAAGGCTTTCTACAAAACAAAACTTAGTAGATCAAAATCTGACCCATTCCAAATGTTTTCCGATATAGGCCTAATTGGTCATATTATGATCCTATCTTACTCATCTCATGCGGTTCCGTTTTCATATAATCAACATAGATGAAATAAAAAAAATTACATTGTATTATTTAAACATAAATATGAAACGTTAACGTATGTTTAAGTTTTTTAACTTATAAGCGTCACACCGCTCCGCTTTGCTCACATGCTAATAATCAAATAATACCCAGCGATCTTCGAATATTATTTTTGCTTGAAAATTTCGTTTTGTATAAATTGTATCTTCATTTTAATAAATGTTTTCATCAACAAATTTGCAAGCTTTATTTCAGGTGTTGCTTGATAGCTGATCTCTGCGCCCAAGTAGCAGTGCTCCGCCTGTGCTTCCCCCTCATAGTATCAGTCTATCATTGCCATGTCAGTGTATTGATTCATTGTCCCTTCATAGTTTGCAAGAGACATATAATAAACTGAGCGTATTAATAAACTGAGACGTAGGCTATTTAATAAACTGAGCGTAGCCTATTCATCTGTCAATATGAAACGCGACTGGGTCATTCTAATTAATGATCGGAAAAACGCGTATCGACCACCGTTACTGTAAAATATGCACGTATGTCCATTTAAACTCAATTTTGGTCAAATGTGGATTATATCATTACACTGGCAAGAATATGGTTACATTTAAAGTTGTCGTACCAAGTATGACAACGCTACGTTCAACTGCTTTTGAAATTACGTGTTTTTTTCACTTCCTGAAAAGTAACCGTTTTGGACATACGTGAGTTTCATCGGGAAGCGAGCGACGATATATTCTATGTATTAAATATATAGATATTTTTTTTTTTTATTATTATTTAGATTCAAATAACACTCACTTAGACTTTGCCTTTCTTTGTGAGCAAAATTATATATAACATTTAATGGATCTTATGGCTTATACGGAAAGGCTCCTTCCAAAGAGATTTAACTAATTAATTTAATTGTTGCCAGTGTCACATAAAAATGATGGTAACATTAAATATTCAGTGTGTTGATTAAAGCTTAAATCAAAGGCGCACTTCTATAATTTTACACTGAGAAATTGATCAATATTCATAGCCCAGTCGTGTCCAAAAAAAGGTGGTTTTGCTCAACCAGTAAAATGTTAAGTTCCTCATAACAGTAATATTTTCCTACCCAAACCACAAATTACATGGGAATGTTATTTTTAGCTAAACTAGTTGACTTTGATCGAGTACTCACTCTGTCTGTTTTTTATTGAGGTTTGGTCCTCTTGGATCATGGTCTCTGTGGTTCTGGCAAAGGCCATTGCTGTGGCACAATACCCATGATGCACCAGGTAGCTGGACACCATACTGCAGATATAAACATAAAAAGGTTAATGTGGGAAATATTATGAATCACGAATTAGCCACATAACAAGGCTTATTAGCAGAGTAACATGCATGATAAACTACAGCGAATAGAAGTAGATGTTTTATCAATATTGTGACTGCTGAATTTATTTTCAGGTGACAGGTTGCTCACTTCTGCAGAACCGCCTGCCAGTCTCCCAGTCTTTCTCCGATGGGGAAGCGGGCGATCATGCTGTGGATCTTGGCCCTCCATTCGCTCATGTAGTCCTCAATGTCAAACACAAAAGGCTGTTGGCCAAAATTAGCATCTACTATCTCCCCTGGAGTTTGCAGCCCTACTGTGGGGTACAGGTTAGGCTGAAATGAGAGACAGAAAAAGAGAAAGACAAAAAGAGAGAGCTGAGAGACTGCTTAGAAGGTCTCCATGTTCTCCATCAGTAATTCTCAGCACAAGGAATCATTCAGTCACACCTTAACTGGAAAAGCCTCAAATGAAGCTTCATGCAGAAGTCTATATCCTCATCTGAGCTCATTACTAGCCTATGCCACACTATCAATCTACTGTTACTGGTATTCATTTAGCAGACACAGAGCTACAGTACAAGCCATTCATTTCAAGGGGAGAGTAACGTGAAGTGCTGCAATACGAAGATCCAAAGTTGGGCAGAAAAGTACAAGCTAGCACAGAGATACACGCATGACGGAAGACACGACGTGAAAAAATAAAAATCATGATAAGGAGACAATATAGGCGTAAAGTTACATCCAAAATTCGGTAGCACTTTATTTTAGAGTCCTGTTTCGCATGTACATACTTTGTACTTATTATAGCAATTACAATAACTGGGTTATAACTAGGTACTAACCCTGAACCTACCCTTAAACCTAACCTTAACCCATGTAGTTACCTTATATTACCAGTACTTTCTTGTGCTCCAGTTTTAGCCATTTTCGTACTTCAGCTTCAAACTTATTTCAGTTAGATGCAAAGACAAAACTATTTTTTAAGTGTTTCATCTGATATTTATATTTTATATTATTTCAATTACTGATTTTTTTTAACTTACTTTTAGATTACACTGTTTGAGAGAGGTCTGTGTGCTTTACTTACTGGCAGATCTGTGAAAGCCACACCTGGAGGAACACAAAAAATTGTGAATTCAGAGATTACATAAGAAAGATACTGAAAACTTGATCTTGAGTCACTAAATTGATTTCTAATTATTTAAGCATTAATAAGATTTATGCTTAAATCATTTTCCATTAAATTATTACCTAAACTGTGCCCGTTCTTGGTGTAAAAGCATGTGTTATTGATGAGGTTCACGCAGCAGCCAATGACGTCACCCGTTGTGAAGGTCGGGCCATAAGGTTGACCAGTCCCTGAGGAACAAAAGGAGTGTCCGTCGTCCCCATGATAACCATAGGAGTGCTTGTCCCAACCTAAGGTGAGAGAGAGAAATTCAGTAATTAAACAACTTGGATTTAAAAATGTTTCGATGTTTGGGGGGAATCTGCAGAATCCTGTAAAGAGGATTTGAACAAGCTAAAATAGACTTTTATCGGATAAAAAGTGTTATCAGACCAAAATATGTAATATTCAAAGATGCATGGTACATGTAATTGTTGTGCAATTGTGTTGCACATATATAGATATATTCTGAGTTAGGGGGGCACAGATTTCGCGTGCTAATAAGGAATCTTGTTTCTGCCTCTGTACTGACATCCACAGGATGAGTCGGAGCCTATCCTAAGCCTGCAGCGTTTGATATGCCATCTGGTCTCCAGCATCATAAAATACTGCTTATTACATAAATTATGAGCACCAATCTGATAATACTGCTGGAAAGAATATATGGTGGACAGCAGGTAGCCTCGTGAGACCATCCTGATCTCGCGAGCTTTCAAGGTTTCACTCGCAGATCAGTCTGGATACTTTCCGTTAAAGAAAATTTGGGAGCAGTTCACCAAACGAACGTCCAATCAGCGTTGGCTTTGAGGCGGGTTGAGGTGTGACGCAACGAGAAGCGCGTCAGTTCAGTCTAAAGAACATGTCGGCTTCAGCGGATGAAACTAGCATCAGCGTGGCTATCGAGCAAGTTTTATCGGAATTACAGAGTATTTCTTCACTGAAAGAAGAGCAAAACACTGCTCTGGAGGCTTTTCTCAGAGGAAAAGATACGCTCTGTTAGTACGTCATATGCTTCGTTGATCTGATTGGTTGATTTGGCCCGTCTATCACCAACATAGGCCAATCAGCTAACCAGTATTTTCGCCCCTTACCAAAACTACTTCAACGGAAGGTTTCCAGATGGATATGCGGATCAAATCCATCTGGCGGAGTCAGGTTAGACAGCAGGACCCTGGGACAAAATTATAAAGGTGGGCCCCAGCAGGCACATGTGGGTGCAATTATCAACAATGATATTGTGGACAATAAAACAAAAAGCATTTTAATTGGAATTAATATGACAACATGTACAGTTAAGAATTGCTCAAAAGTCATAAACTTTCTTTTTATTTGAACGTATCTGGCGTCAGACAGTCTGAACGGGGCTTGAGATGTCGTTGACAAAGCATTGTGTCTTGCTTTGGACTTGACTGACAGACTGGCATTTTGACACTGCTTGTTTGATAACCACTATTTACTAATATTTTTCTTTGTTGTAATTATTCCACTCACTGTAAAAAAATAAATAAATACAAGTTTGTGTCAGTAGTTGCATATGCATAACTGTAACCACAAAGTCTTTTTACAAAAGTGATGGAGAACCGCGGACCATATACGGCTCTCAGTGATTGCTAATGAGTAGATTCAATTACAAATTCACGTATTACATATTTAAAAATGTTACATACACTTACCTAAAGGATTATTAGGGACACCTGTTCAATTTCTCATTAATGCAATTATCTAATCAACCAATCACATGGCAGTTGCTTCAATGCATTTAGGGGTGTGGTCCTGGTCAAGACAATATCCTGAACTCCAAACTGAATGTCAGAATGGGAAAGAAAGGTGATTTAAGCAATTTTGAGCGTGGCATGGTTGTTGGTGCCAGACGGGCCGGTCTGAGAATTTCACAATCTGCTCAGTTACTGGGATTTTCACGCACAACCATTTCTAGGGTTTACAAAGAATGGTGTGAAAAGGGAAAAACATCCAGTATGCGGCAGTCCTGTGGGCGAAAATGCCTTGTTAATGCTAGAGGTCAGAGGAGAATGGGCCTACTGATTCAAGCTGATAGAAGAGCAACTTTGACTGAAATAACCGCTCGTTACAACCGAGGTATGCAGCAAAGCATTTGTGAAGCCACAACACGCACAACCTTGAGGCGGATGGGCTACAACAGCAGAAGACCCCACCGGGTACCACTCATCTCCACTACAAATAGGAAAAAGAGGCTACAATTTGCAAGAGCTCACCAAAATGGGACATTTGAAGACTGGACAAATGTTGCCTGGTCTGATGAGTCTCGATTTCTGTTGAGACATTCAGATGGTAGAGTCAGAATTTGGCGAAAACAGAATGAGAACATGGATCCATCATGCCTTGTTACCACTGTGCAGGCTGGTGGTGGTGGTATAATGGTGTGGGGGATGTTTTCTTGGCACACTTTAGGCCCCTTAGTGCCAATTGGGCATCGTTTAAATGCCACGGCCTACCTGAGCATTGTTTCTGACCATGTCCATCCCTTTATAGCCACCATGTACCCATCCTCTGATGGCTACTTCCAGCAGGATAATGCACCATGTCACAAAGCTAGAATCATTTCAAATAGGTTTCTTGAACATGGCAATGAGTTCACTGTACTAAAATGGCCCCCACAGTCACTAGATCTCAACCCAATAGAGCATCTTTGGGATGTGGTGGAACGGGGGCTTCGTGCCCTGGATGTGCATCCCACAAATCTCCATCAACTGCAAGATGCTATCCTATCCATATGGGCCAACATTTCTAAAGAATGCTTTCATCACCTTGTTGAATCAATGTCACGTAGAATTAAGGGAGTTCTGAAGGCGAAATGGGGTCAAACACAGTATTAGTATGGTGTTCCTAATAATCCTTTAGGTGAGTGTATATATATATATATATATATATATATATATTATATATATACACACACACACACACACACACACATATATACAGTACATACAGGCAGATGCTCCTTTTTTACATTTGAGCCCCTGCCTCTGAGGAACTGATGCACTTATTGCCTCCCTCCCGATGATGTTATCTTCCCAGCTGTTCTAAAAAACTGGATATAACAAAAAAAAAAAAGTCCTTTAAAGGCTTCGTCCACCCTGAAGCTCGTTCGAGGGGCAGCTGGACAAGCCTGTGTGTAAATATAACAAGACCATTCGAACAATTCAGTAAGCCTCGGCTCGCACTGCCTCAAACCACCAAGAGGAGGAGTCCGTCTACCTCACTGACTGGGCTGAACTGAATCAAAACTTGAATGTGTGTTGGCAGACCATTATGATTAGTACATGATAAAAATGGTGTTGCGTAAGCAATTGTATTTACAGTCACTACGTGAAATGGTGTAAACAAGTGCATTCTGTGAATGACAGACAGATGAGAATGAAAAAATGAGGAAGTAAGGCAGTGGCTGGTGGGGGCTTGTTGTGTGGTATTAGATTAATCTGCAGAGCAATGCAGGCTGGGATATTACTCCTAAAGCAGAGCTCAGTGTTCCCTTCATGCTAATGAAATGGGCAGAACTCCAGTATGGGATCAGAGACACGGAGGTCAGCAGGGGGTGTAAAACCATTACGCTCAGACTGCACACATACCCACACACACAAACATACAATACACCATACATTCTCATAGGAACTTACACATGACTTTAACTGATTAAAGTGTTTTGGAATCATGGGATGTTTGTTTAGTTATTTGCAAAAACCAAGTGAACTAAAGAGAGAGAAAAAATATATAAATATTAGATATATTAGAAGTGAGCATAAAAGATATTAGAATAAAAATAACTTATAGACATTTGATCACATTTTAACATTTGTATAAATTTGTTTATGTCATGATATATATATATATATATACATATATACAGTATATATATATATATTAAAGCACCTAAAACTAGAGAAATAATATCCTGCTGTTGGCTGTAGAATCCAAACTAACTAGAAAATACATTGCCCACCCTACATGCGTTTGTCTATATTTCCACTATATTCCAAAGCGCTCTGACAAAGAGTGGTTTAAGCAGAGAGCACAGAGGTCAATGAACACACAATTTGTAGTCAGCACGCACATGCCGAATTGGCTAAATTGCTCCAAAGCATTTCAAAGGCATCAGGCACAGTGGAGAAGCTAACAGGCAATTGACAAAGTCACTTGATTGGTCAGAGGGCTCACAGGAGGGTGACATTAACCAAACTGTGCCCAAAATACAGCCCTTTTTTCTTATACAATATACACCATTGTTCAAAAGTTTTGATCTTTCTATTTATAAAAGAATTTTGAATAAATGTATTATGGTTTCCCACAGAAAACAATAAACAGCACAACCGTTTTTTTTAACTTTGACAATAATAAGAAATGTTTCTTGAGTCCCAAATCAGCATATTAGAGGGATTTCTGAAGGACCATGTGACAATGTTTAGAAAATTCCCGAAAATTCTGCTCTTCCATCATAGGAATGAATTACATTATAAAATATAATTTAAATAGAAAACTTATTTTGAATTGTAATAATATTTTTCAGTATTGCTGTTTTTACTGTGATTTTTGTTTTTACAACATTTGAAAAAAATCTTAGCGACCGCAAACTTTTGACCAGTAGTGTACATTTACTTTTTCAACTTTCATCCAGCATGTTGGATAAGCATTCAAGTATTGCTTTATATATCAAAGAGCTAGCTAATATGTACTGTTATGTTTCTACAGCACAATGTGCTTCACACTCCTAAATGTATTGGTAAATTCATTATTGTCTACTTACATATTATATCTTCATTAGTGTCAGCTCAACTGAAGTAAAGGATTATTCCACATACTATATTCAGTCACATTTCCTTTTTAACATTCTGCATTATGATAATGCGCACACATTTCATTTGTATTTTTCCATCAAACTGGATTTTGTTTGGTTATGGTGTCTTTTTTCACTGCAGTTAGTCAATTAAAACTAGTTCAGTAGCAGCTTGATGTCCTCTGCTATGTGAATGGATGCTCTGTCAGAATGACAAGATTTTCTCTGATTAATTTTAGCTTTTAGCTATGAATAATTATGACAAGGCTTTGTGATCTCAGAACATTCTGTATGCCAGGTAAAATCCATTGAGGAAAACCAATAATGAGATCTAGGTCTCCTCTCCTTCCCTTTGAGGACTCATGAAAAAAAAAAAACACATTACAAAGTTATTTCCTGGGATTTAGGAGCACAGAAAGAAAAACCCTGGATTCTATGCATTTGCAAGGTCATTCTCACAGCTAGTGTTTTTCAGGGCATGCTGAGGCATGTTCATGGCCTGAATTACAGTCTGACTGACAAACGGATATTAAAAAAAGTGTTAGACAAAAAAAAGTAGAAGACAAATGATCTTAAGCTACAAGACCATACTCAAAAGTGAATCGTAATGTCAGCACTGGCCTTTTCATGAACAGATTTATCAGTGAGCAAAAAAAAAAAAAAAATTCTGTTCATAATCTTTATCAAAATGTAAAAACTTGACTTTTAATCTTCAAAGCTCTTCCTCATAAACAACTTTACTTTTTGGCTCAACGATTCCCTCCCATCCAATCGCATGGCCCCATTCCGGTATGTAACACCCACTTCACACAATCCAACCATTTTCGATGGATGAAATTAAGTCCCTCCTAACTTTTCTCTCTCCAATATTCTGCCAGAATTAAAATAGGTTATGAATACAATTCATTTTTTATTTTAATATGTATATCTACATAAAGCAATTTTTTAAAGCTACAAAAATGGACTGACTCACTCATTCTTCAGTTACCTAGTTCACCATGACCCATGGTCATGGCTGGGCGGTATGACAATATATATAGTTACCATGGTATAAAATGTCTATCATTAGAGATTTTGCTATATCGTGGTATGTAAATATATAGCACTATTGACACTTCAGAGTGATGAAATACATGAATGAGGATATAAAGAGAGTAATAAGAGTAATATATCTTGAAAAGGAACTCTGTGCTCGTGCTGACTGGCACCCTGCCAAAGTGCACGCACAGAAAGCTGCCCCTCTCAGAAGGCAATAGTGAATTTGGGAAGTGCTCAGTGTTAAAATGTGTTAAGCACAATAAGCAGTGAAAAAGAACTGACTGACGCACAGCGTCATCGCATGCAGAATGCAATCGAGAATTCAGTTCTCTTTCAAGTCTTATTGCGCTTGAATAGTCGAACACAAACGCAAGTATGTCAAAATTTCCATCTTGAGGAGTATTCATGTAAACACAGCCGGTTAGGTCTCAAGTGAAAGTAAACAGTTGGGTGTAAACCGGATGTGTATCAGTATAAAGATCCGTGTGTTTGGTCTTAAAGTGACAACAGCCTAATATACCTACCTGCTGCTCATTAATGTGAATCAAACAAAAGAGAAAATAACTTACTCTTCTTGACTGAATAACTTATTTTTAGCTTTAATAAGAATACATTTAAATTTAATTCATACAGTGAAGACTATGCAATATTTAATTTTTACATTCTATTAAAAAATGTCTGTACTAATTCTAACTACATGTTAAATAAACATAATTAGTTTAATTAATATTTTTGCTATATTGTATTTGTCCAATTGTTTGTAATTTGCTTCTTTTTTCTTATTTTCAATAACAGAAATGAGATAAAATAATACAAAATAACCATATCGTGATATAAATCTTTATCGTGAAGTAAAATCTCATAACGTGACAATGAGATACCCATGGTGAGCACATCATCCCTTTCGTGTATATACGAGCACAAACACTCACAAACTCACCAGGCAGTCTGTTCATGTTTACCCCCTGGGCAGACAGTCCAATTCCCATGTACCTGGAAACACCAATGAGAGAGGACAAATGTTAGCTTTACTAAAAAAATAAGGACACTGTCACTGATAATCTCTGAAACTGTATTTAAACCATATATTATGCTCCTGATAAAGTTACTATTCAACTGGGTTTAGTGACAGATCATTTTGAAGGTCTAAAATTAAACAAAAAAGGTCAGAATTATTTGCCCTGCATAAATAAACTTTCTGTTGGTCAACGTTGTAAATAAATGACCAACCAGAACCTGTTGCAAAATGGCTGGATTTCGCTTATGAAATTTGCTGAATAACAGTAGATGTGACCATACATTCAAAATAAAATACAAGATGAATCAAGCATTTTAAATAATATTGAAAAATAACATAATATTGTAAATAATATAATAAAATTAATGGCGATTAGACTGAAGAGCCCCTTCCCACAAGTGCTTTGTGGTATATATTAAAAAGTGCTAAGTGAGTATGGGAGCGAGTTCCACAGCCTGGGATCACAGTGACTAAGGGATAACTCGGCTCTTTTTAGTCACAACCTGTAAGTTGCTGTTAGATGACCTAGTAGAACAGGAGCAATCCTGCTGTGCTGGAATATATTTAGTAATCACATTGCAAAGTGGTCACAGGAAAGGGTGGGACCCTTTTCCATTTATTTTTGGACAATGATATCCTCAAACCGAAGGCAGGACAAACACCAACTACTGACTCAAGCATGACACATGGTTTCAGAGCAATTATCATTCTTAGACTGTGAAAAGACCGTTTCATTAATTTCAGAATATCTTAGTATTTGGTGCATAATTTTGCTTTAATGAGCAACCATAAGTTTGAGTAAAACCTGATGATCATGTTCTTTATAATGCTTTGAGAATGATCTAAAGTGGATCTTGAGCTTCAGTGGAAGAAAAAAACAACTGAACATCTGTACAAAAAGTCACATGATCAGTGCCACAAATTTACAAGGCGATCTAGAAATAGTGCTGAATATTAACCCGTTTAATCCCACCGGTCACAATTGTGACCGCAGCTTTTTTCTTATTTCTGGAAGCTCTAAAAATGTTGTAATTGACTTTGGGCAAGAAATTCAACTTTTAAATGACAAAATAGATTGTCTTGATTAAAATCAATTAATGTCATGTGACTAGTGTGAAAGGTCACATGACCAGATCAGTTCACTTCCTGCTTGCACATCTAGAAGAAGATGTCTTCCTCAGACTACTACAAAAAGTAGTATATAAAACATCTTAATTTACATATAGAACTATCATATTTTGTAAATATATTCTTTAAAGGGTCTACTACTGATATATTTTGAGAATTATACTCCTGCATATATATTTTGCTCGTAAGACGTGTAAATTTGTTTACGGTCACAATTGTGACCGGTAGTATAACACAGTGCTTCAATAGAAATCACAGGTATTGGCTGGTATTGGCAGGTTTTGGCAATCCTACACTGAACATGCCACACCTGTGAGGGGGATGGATGATCTTGGCAAAAGACAAGTGCTCACTAACACAGATTTAGACAGATTTGTGAAGAATATTTGAGAGAAATAGGCCTTTTGTGTACATAGAAAAGGTCTTAGATCTTTGAGTTCAGCTCATGAAAAATGGGGGCAAAAACAAAATTATTGCGTTTATAATTTTGTTCAGTGTAGTGATGAGTGTCCCAGAAACGGTCAATGTGTTGGACCTTCTTGACGTACGAGACCCCCTTCCCCCCCACCCCCACCCTAAATTGAAAGTGACTGTAGTGATGGCTCAGATAGGGAGTACCAGGGTGAAACAGCCCATTTGCCAAGTAGACTATTGAATGGCGATGCAGAGGTGAATTATCTGGAGGATTGGGCAGATGTTCATGAGAACCAATTGGTGTGCTCCACACATGACCACAAACAACCCTTTCTACAACGTACGGCCCATCTTCAGTGCACTGAATGAGTGAACACACATCTTCCTGAAACTGGCCTAGGACAGGGCCCAAGTGTAGGCATGGTCTAGCCCATACGGGTCTAGCCGAACAAGCAGAAGTTCCTCCAGGGTGTAACTTTGTACATGACAACCCTTTCACCTCACTAAGCCTTCTTCACGAAATGACAAAACAAGATATTGGATGTCTTGGAATGAATTGTGTCAATAGGTCTAATTGAAGAATTTGAATGAATTCTGACTATGTTGTTTCCCACCGGTCACTATTGTGACCGAGTATAAAACCTAATATTTCACTAACTTAACCAACATAAAATCCAAAAAAGCATAATGTTTGAGTGTTAGGGAGGTCTAAGGAGTAAAATGCATGTACTCAAGTTGCAAGAAAAAATTTGGGATTAAACGGGTTAAATATTACTTATTAATTTGACCTTATACGTAAGGGTTCCGTGCGTTCATTCGTTTTTTGATTTAATATTGAAAGTAGAAAAACAAGAAAACAGTGCGTTTTTCGTTTTTTTTTTTTAAAAAAACGAAAAACAAGTATTCAGCCTGATTTTTCGTTTTCAGGTAGAAAAATGTATAAACAGCTTGAATATTCGATTTCTACACATGGGCGGGAATGAAACGCCCCTTTCCTCTGATTTGTCAGCCGAAGACCAAACTGTTCCGTCATTAGTTCTTCCTCAGTTCCGCTCAGCAGAATAATAGTCCTCCGCTGCTGCAGTTGTACGGATTCTTAGCGCGTTTATTGCAACTACTACATTTCATCTTTTTCTCATCAAACAACCAGACTTATGGCTCGACACAACCTGTACCGGGGAAGAGCCTAGACAGGGATTTATTTTGTGTAGATATAAACTCACACTTTGCATCAGCTGGGTATGGCAGGGTAAATGACGGCTGTCATAATCTATATGGTCGCCCTCGCCCAGTAAGTTTAAAAAAAGAATAAAATTAATTAATTAAGATATAAGTCAATATAATTAGTAGTAAATTAAATATTTTGACTTATATCTTAATTTATTTATATTATTCTTTTAACAACAGAGAGATAAAAATACATAGGCTGATTATAATTTATATCTCAAAAGGATGCGCTTGAGCGCGGCGCGAGCTGCTGCGCACTCGCACACAGGACTGCAACGCAAGATTTTCATAAAGGTATAACTTGCCATTTTGGTCTGTTTCTCACCAAACCCTACCTTCAGAACACTTGGGATATACTGCACAAATTGCATAGGATTATTTTACGACAGATTTGCATCGGCTTTAAAAAATAAAATAAAAATCCACCATTCACTGACATTACCTGGGCAAGTGCGAGCAGGACACTCTGTGTGTGTGTGTGTGTGTGTGTGTGTGTGTGTGTGTGTGTGTGTGTGTGTGTGTGTGTGTTCCAAGGTTATTTTCGTAAACGAAAACTGAAACTAAGACTAAAACTATTGGTCAAAAAACATTTTCGTAAAGTGAAATAAAATTAAAAACTCATAATAAATTAAAAACTAAAACGAAACGAAACTAACAACAGTTACTGAAAAACTAACTGAAATAAAGTAATAATTAGCAAAAATAAATAATCGTTTTCTTAATAAGCTCTTTACTTTGGTGGAAAATCTGACCTGGCTGTTTAGGGAAATGCCTGGCGCTTCACCCGTGTGAAGTTGCTGAGGCGATTAACCGCGTGTCGTGACGTGCTCAATGAAGGACCGTAACGTAGAACGTACTCGGTTACTAACGTAACCTCGGTTCTCTCTAGAGAGGGAACGAGTACTGCGTAATAGCTTTACGCTAGGGGAAAAACTCTTTTCCGCGAGATATTGAAGCCAAAAATTATCCTTAATTTTTTATTAATGTAAAACGCTTTGCAGCAGCAAGCAGACATAGGCGAAACAGCTTGCGCGCCTATTGGTTGCTCTGCAGCAAATGCAGCAGCCTATCGAGAGAGACTCTGCGTGACGTAATGACCAATGGGGGCAATTCGCGCCCATATCGTCACGTCCCGCCAGAAGGGGCGTGGTCTCACCCTATAAATATGCTCGTTAGGCTGATACAAGCTGGTTTTTATCACTGAAGCGAACCAGAGCGTATTCCAAGCACGGCAAGATACGCAGTACTCGTTCCCTCTCTAGAGAGAACCGAGGTTACGTTAGTAACCGAGTACGTTCTCTTACGAGAGTATCTCTCGTACTGCGTAATAGCTTTACGCTAGGGGAACACAATGCAACACGCCGTGCGTACAGGGATCCAACACCAAAGTCCCGGGGGCCGAAGCCCAGGGCTCATGTAGTGCATAATCACCATAAACTCACATAGAGTGGAGGAAGAGAGGCTGGAAGCGTCATTCCCTATAAAAAAGCACCCAGCGGGGCTATTATATGACAATAAAACGCGCAGCCAGGGTGAAAGCTTTCAGCCTGATCTGGGTGGCCATACGTGTGTCAACACTCATGGGGCTGCAGTAAACTCAGCATCTGGGCCGCACAGCGGGGCAGATAGCACTGAATTTTAGACCGCCAAAAGCTTAGCTTGTAAGGCGGGTACCTCCAGGTTATAGTATTTTATAAATGTAGACGGCGAGGCCCAGCCCGCGGCCGTACAGATATCTTGCAGGGAAACCCCGCTCGACCACGCCCACGAAGAGGCCACGCTATCACGCTATCACGCTATGCAATGGCATCCACTATCCATCTGGATAGGCTCTGTTTTGAGGCGGCGAGTCCCTTGGAACGCCCGCCAAACAAAACAAAAAGCTGCTCCGTCTGTCTGAAAACAGACGAGCGTGACACATAAGCTCTCAATGCCCTGACGGGGCAAAGGAGACTCGCATCCTCCTCCTCACTGAGAACCGGAAGGGCGGACAGGGAAATTACCTGGGCCCTGAACGGTGTATTGAGGGATTTCGGGACATACCCGTGCTTTGGTTTGAGAATGACCTTCGAGTCATTAGGCCCAAACTCCATACACGACGCGCTTACTGAAAGCGCCTGTAAGTCCCCTATGCGCTTTACTGAAGCGAGAGCCATGAGAAACACTGTTTTGAACGACAGGTGTTTCATGTCCACCAGCTGGATTG